ACATAACGTCAAACAATTGTTCTGTGTTCAGCGGATGTTGCGTCAGGCTAAAGTCTCATATCCTATGTTAATGTGTGAGGTGTGTAAATAAAATGCTTTTTAAAAATTCATCCCTTTTTCATGATCATGTTGTGATTAAATATAATTTATTAGTCACCATCTATTAGTATAAAATCCTCCTTCTGTTCTTCTGCACACATTATGTTTGTCACTATACATGTAGACTACATTCACTGAAAATACAACTTCGAGTCTCAAAAGTGCCTTTGTTATGCAGATGACACCCAGTTGTCCAGCTGTCTAACCAATCCTGCCTCTCTCACACTAAATCCTGGACATCCCATTATTCCCTTCAATAATTGTGGATGTAATAGTTGTTGTTATCATCACTCAGCTGAGGAGCTGACCTACAAACGTTGGCTTCAGTTACCAGCTTGGTCATCAGAGCTAATGTTAGCAGGCTGCTCAGCTCCGTCTCTACATGTTGATTCTAACTCATGCAGCTGGTCTCGTGTTCCGCTGAGGAAACTATATCTGAACAAGATAGCAGCAAAACATGTAAATCCGGTTAGCATTTAGCACACACGCACGCACACACACACACACGCACACACACACACACACACAACAACAACAACAACACGATCGTGTGATTACCTGACTCTAAAAAGGTCGCCCTTTCTGCAGCTGCTAAACAGATCGTATACATCCATGTTCTCCTCGGTGTTTTCGCGGCTCTGTGATGCATTGAGACGGCCTGTCTACCGGACAGGTGAGCGACGGTTTGCTGGAAGCCTCCGGGTTTGCAGGCTCGACGCTGGGAAGTTGTCTGGGATGTCACACCTTCCTGCACAGTTGTTTACAGGCTGATCGGATCCTCGGTGTTACGGAGGTGTTTTGGTTTTTTTCCCCCTTCCCCTGGTGGCCGAGGGGCCCGCCCCTGCGCTGCGTCTGATTGGCCAGTGTCCGTCTTCTTCCGTGTTTTGGTTCCAGAAGAGCGGTGATTGGTTGAGAAGAGCACTTCCGCATCTGGTTAAGCCAATGAGAAGCAGCGTAGGGGCGGGACTTGTAATATGTGCAAACTTCTCTTTTTGCAGTAGATGGTTCTTATGACTTTCCTGCAGCATTAAACAACAAACCCTGAATATTTGATCACATCATCTGTGTCCACAACATGGAAGTGGAACGAGACACAGCTCATGAAGTTCCTCCATTAGTGACCTTGTCTATTGGCTCAGTAAATCCTCCTCTCAATGATTTCCTGTGTACTCGACTGTGATGGGTCATCATGCTGCAGTGCATGTGGGCTCTATAAACATCCTGCCTGACGGAATGAGGAGCTGCAGCTCTGCCATGACTTTTAAAACCAAACAAAAAAGTCTGTTGAAAGCTGCTCAGCACTGACCCTGAGCTGTTTACAGTCATTAAACAAGCAGGCTGTTGTGTTTGTTGTATATGATGCGTAGTCTTGTGTTCCGGGTGTCTGCGTTGTCTCTCTGTTCTTCAAATAAGTCACTCGTTATGTTGAATCTTAAAACCTGTCCCTCTACGCCTGAGGGCTTTTTTCAAAATCAACAGCATGTTTAGACATTTAGGTATTTCAGAGTAGGGAAAAGTCAGTGCTTTGCACAAAGTGGCCACAAGAAACTCTTTCATAACTTCTCCTGAATAAGGTTTCAGCCTCTATTACATTGCTCATCAAGCTGTTGGCAAACAAACTCATATGAAGTCTGTCAACTTAATTCTTGCACAATTGCAGCTCATTCACTTTAGTAAATTTCCGTAAAATGTAATAATTTCTTAATTCCTCTTGGAAAAAGCAGACATGCTGCATCTACTTCTCTTTTTCTGACAGTGCTTTCTATGCTTTTGTTATTCACTATGTTATTCTCTTTTCCCAACAAAAAAAGAGTTGCTCTCATGAGAATGTTTTGTTGTTCCCAATGTTCCATAATGTTTGTATGTCATACTTTGTTATCACATAGGCTACTGTGTACTTCATTGATAATTCGGACCATGCTGTTTGTCGTTAAGAACTTACTTTATCAAAAAAAATGTAAGATGAAAAATTACCAAGACACACAAAGGGATCACACAAAATGACCAAATGCCAGATGACCAGAAAATTGTTTTATGCAAACCAGACAGTTTCAAACCAGTAATTTACCTCATTAAAAACATATAAAGGCAAAAATATGTGATTTATAATATTTCAAAATGCATAAACACTTAACTAGAAGTGTTTCAGATCTATTATTCATTCCTCTAATTCCATTTTGGCAAGTTTCTGTTTTAATATAGAGATCTGAAGTTGAAGTTTTTCTTGTGCCAGCAGGAGGTTTTCCTTCTGCAGTCTCAGCACATCGACCTGCAAAGTCTCTGCAAGGAGAAAAACACACAACTGACGATTTCACAGACACAATTCCCTTCTTCCCTTCTCCGTTCAAAAAAGATTAAAACGGGTAACTAAAGGCAATAAAGATTGATGCACTCATGATTTAGATTTGCAGCATGTTACCATTGTTTTTTCTAATAAGAGCACAGTTCATTCCACAGTGTCCAACTAAGTGCTTCAGTGTGTATTGAAAAGCTCCGAATTAGAACAAAATGAAATATCGCAAGGTGTTACTTCTCGTGACTTTATTATGATGGATTGGATTAAATCTTATCTCAATATAACAGCTCCACATCTGAGCTGATTCAGGCTGACATTCATGAGGATTTTCCTGTACATGCTCCAGAATCGATCCAGAAGTAATGTCTAACATGGTAATTTATTGAGCCTGAGGAAACACAGACTCTACAGTTTATGTTTCATGTTTAGCAGATGGATATCTATGAGTGAGAAATTTGATGCAGATCCAAATGAAATGAATCTGGTGAATCTAAATGTTGTTTCATAAGGAGACAGTAAGGCCTGGTCTGAGTTATGTGTTCACTAACATTGACAATAATGCATTAGTGTGATCACTTCATAATTATTATGTGCCTTTGAATGAGAATTCTAAACATTTAGGAAAGGTAGAACACAGATAACCTGTAGGGCCCTGTAATACAAAAATAGTTATTACTACCCCCGAGGTGATACCGCTCACATGAGTGGAAAGTCTCATCTTTAAAGCAAAAAAGAGACACTCCCCAATTCCAAGCATTCCATCTCACAATTAACATCTCTGCCTTTCACAGAGGCAACACTACAGATGTCATGTCAAGAAGATGTAAATCAACTCTCGTCTCACTCGCTCCATGTCAGTGGTGAGGAATGTCAGAATGAGTAGATTATAGTGTTGCTCGTTACCTATGACGGTTTTGTTGACAGATGCGTTCTGGGTATCGACCATGTCACATCTGTGGTCAGTCATCCAGAGAGGTAAAGCGATATGTAGATCTACCTCAACAGGGTAGTGATCGCTCACTCTCAGGGCCTGCAGGGTGATACAAACTCTGAATTAGTGATATCACCAAAAAACAGGAAAGTAATAGAGGCTCATCACTTGTTGGTTATGAAAACATAAAGTTACCATTTCCTCTGTCATATCAAACGCTGTGTGGAAATTGAACGGCTTGGCTGAATTTGGCACAATAGCAGCCAGCATGTTATCTCCATACACTACAATCCTGTTAGAGACATATGTTTATTATATAATTCATTCTGACAATACACCATAAGCCCACTGTTCAGAGATAATTATTCCACTACTCTTTAAAACAAACATCTTTTCTTGAAACTTTACGATGTCCACCTGCCTGTCGTAGGTGTGATCATTTGAAGTATTCGCAGTGGTGTCAACGTCATCCCCAATCAGCCAGTGGAACTTCTTGTCACTGCGAATGCGGATGTCCTTCATTTCTTTACGTGTGACATACGCACCATCTGCATTGAAGTCCCCCAGGATCATTATGTTCTAAAGGAAATCAAGAGCGGTAAAGGTCGTTCTTGGTATATGTTCCATCCTTCTACCATCATGATAATCTGTCCTGTAGATTCTGCGTAACTTTGCTAAATAACAGTCGGACAAACAGACGAAAACATAACCTCCTTGGTGGAGGCATAAGAACTTCCTGTATAAGGACACATAGAAATCCCACCAGAAGTGAAGTATTTGTGTCATGTAACTAGTACGAGTGGAGTAGAAATACATTTATTTATGAATATAGCTTTAGTGTGTACCCGGAACTCATTGATGCACTGCTTTGAGGTGAATCAATGAGATGCAGCAGGACGATGTAACTCACATCTGTTTTCCACTTGTCTTTAACCACCAGGACGACCTCGTACAGCTCATCCAGCTCTTTCTCCGAGTCCCAGGGTCTGGTGTGGACCGGGATCAGCACTATGTCCTCCAGCACTGAGACGAATGCACAGGACAATGTCTCCACTGACATGTCCCATCATGACAAAACACTGACTTAACTCTGACTGTCTGAACTTGATCAGCTTGCTGCTGGCTTCTATTCTCATGTCAAACTAGATCCAATCACAAAAACAAACATGACTCAGACATACCAACGACGTCACAGCAGCAATACTGTTCACAGAAACTCTGGTAGAATGACTCCCTGTTAAACTGACCTGTGTTGTGTGGTTTGAAGTGGAGAATGTATGGCTCTCTGGCAAAAACATCCATGTCGTTGACCTGGTTGTCTTCATATTGATAGCAGTCAATCAAGTTGACCACATCATCCCTTCCAGTGGGAGAAGATGCGTTTAATGCAGATGTTCAATGGTTACACTGAGGGAGTCTTATCGTCAAGAAAAAAGATCTTAATTCACCTGAAGAGAAATAAAAATTGTTCCTTGTATCTGGTCCTTCCCAGGCGGGTGCTGAGCTGCAGGGAGTAGTGATGGCTTGTGTTGACCCTGCACGTGAGATTAGGATACAGTACACACAGTAAACACCGACATCTACAGTGTTTGCTTCTTTCAGAAAAAAAAAGTCAACTCACCTGTTCAGTTCGTTCAGGAACAGTTTGACAGAATCTCCACTCACATCCACAACCTCCAGAATGAGGATGATGTCGTATCGAGACACAATCTAATACAACAGAGGTAAGTACAAGTCTGCAACGTAAAAGTTATGAGGAAGCACATTTCAGTCTTAAGTATGAAATCATGAGGAAACAGATATTATCCCTTGGGGCATATTTGGGATTGTTTCTGCAGCTAACCTGATTACACCTTTAGCAATTTATTTTCAATGAATTAACTTCTTATCCTTTGTTCCTCACACCGCCTCATCAAAGCTCTTTGGCTGCCTCTCAAAACTAAACCCTTTATTAATTATTACTCATCTGAAATTGTGCTCTGTTTTGTTGCCTGATAAATCACAGCAGAAATCAGCCTCCTCACAATTTACTGTGCCGCAAACAATGAAAACACATTTCACCTTAACCAGAGTCGACACCACATCTGGATCTGAGACCTTCGCCTGTCCAAACCTCTGCACGTTGAATGAAGCTATCTTCATGCCTGACAAGAAAAAAAACGGAGACATTAAAAGTAGAGTCAGAGAAAAATGATTTACATTATTAATTATCGCTATGAATAAATGTACTTTTACCAACCTTCACTAATGTACTGCTGCTGTGCGTCAGTGGCCAACCACCTCCAGAATAAACCTACGCTTTATGGTATGAGAAACTTATTCATCCGTAGCTGTTATTCTAAGGGAAGGTGATGATTGCGTAAACGGTCTGAAAAGGGGAGAGAGACAGTTTGAAAAGAAAGCAAGAAGAGGATAGACCAGTTTCATTGTTCACAGCCTGCTGTCACCGACAATGGCTCTTCACATGGCACTTGACATAAAGTTACGTCTGCAGCAACAATTCCAACGATATGACTCAGTCTACTTTTCTTTTATGATCTTAATTGTTATAATATCATCAGGGGAAAATGAAAATTCACAATGTTTCACAACGTTTCACAAAAGACAAAGTATTCTTATACTATAAATGGTTTATGATGTTTGGACACATTTTGTTGGAAATGTTGTGTATCCTTGTTTTTTAGGTGAAGCATCTTTTGTGGGCTTAATTTTTCAGGAAGGACTTGTGATCACCCTGCAATTTAAATCATCTCAAACTCCTTGTTTTCTCGGCTTCCTTTACTTCTCATCCAAATCCCATCGACACCAAACTGAATCTCATTTGGACATAAAGCCTATACAAATATTTAAGTAATTAACAGTAATGAATTTTGGCTCTTGATGATTAAATCTGACTCTTCTTTGTAATGTTGTACCTTGTGTCACGGAGAAGGCCTGCAATCATGCACGAGAACACAAACAAAGCATTCTTTAGAAATGGGGTAGGTGGGAGAACTGGTATGTGTCCGACAGGTTGAACCACATTTGGGGAGCAACATAACTTCCCTATCAAGCCACACCTCACCCTGCCTATAAAAACACCCAAGAGATAAGAGATGCACAACCGAGCTCGACCACTGCCTGACATCTTCATCTTCCCCATCAGTGAGATCTCCCCAGAAGCGCCACCATGAGTCTGAGGAGAAACCCCAACAGCCGCCCAGGAGTGCGCTCGTCCTCTAAGAGCTTCAGCAGCTCGTCCATGGGATCCTACTCCTTCCACAGGATCAGCACCGGTACTGAGCAGAGGGCCCCGATCACAGCTGTGACTGTCAACAAGAGCCTGCTCGCCCCATTGAGCATCGATATCGACCCCACCATCCAGGTAGTCCGCACCCAGGAGAAAGAGCAGATCAAGACCCTCAACAACCGCTTTGCCTCATTCATTGACAAGGTGAGAAATAAAGTTTGCAGATAGAAATAAGTTTGCAGATAAATGATGAGAGTGAGATTCCATTTTTTTGGGGGGATTATCCCGCTATCCATTTAAATACATATAGAATATAGAATAAGTGAGGGCCAGTTTTATATTGTGGGTCCTTACTCCCCTTGTCACAGGTGAGATTCCTGGAGCAGCAGAACAAAATGCTGGAAACCAAGTGGCAGCTGCTGCAGAAACAGACATCCACCCCCTCCAACATTGAGCCCATGCTGAAGTCCTTCATCGGCTCCCTGGAGAGACAGCTGGAGTGCTTCAACAATGAAAAACTAAGGCTTGACATGGAGAACAATGTCATGCACAAAAATGTTGAGGACTATAAGACGAGGTAGGACTGAAGCACCTGCTGTTGAGTCAGTAAAAATTAGGTGTGAAGATGTGCAGGGGAAATATGACCTGTGGCGTGTTTCAGGTACGAGGAGGAAATCAACAGGAGAAATGATGCTGAGAACGACTTTGTCATGCTCAAAAAGGTAGGGTATAGAGTCATGGTGGCTATGATTGATGTTTTCTCAGTGTGTGCAAGTTTAATGCTTATGAGTGTTCAAAGATTCATTCATCTCTAATGCATGAAATATAACTGCGTCTTTCATAAAGTCATGCACTAAAGTTGTATGTTTTTCACTGAATGCCTGCAGGATGTGGATTCAAGTTTTCTGTCTCAGGTGGATCTGAACGACAGGTTGTCTGGTATCCAGGATGAACACAACTTCCTCAAGGAGCTGTATGATACGGTATTGAAAATCCTTTCAAAATGTCAGACAGTATTAAAATAGGAAAACATGTAAACCACAGGTGTTGAACTGTGGATTATGTCTCCTCACTGCGGCTGTCTGTCGTTTTATAAAAGGAGCTGCGGGAGATGCAGGAGAGCCTGAGGACGACCTCTGTGGTGGTGCAGATGGACAACTCCCGCGGCCTGAACATGGATCAGATCGTGGCTGATGTTAAGGCTCAGTACGAAGATATCGCCGGCCGCAGTCGTGAGGAAGCTGAAAGCTGGTACAAGAACAAGGTGAAGTACTCAAGCAGAAAAATGATACACCACTGTTAATGTCATGCAATTTTGTAGTAAAACAGGTTTCTCTTGAAATAGTTTAGTAAATGAGGGGGTCATTATTTAGGTCAAGCTCATAAATCTACTACACAGGGGACTCTTGTCAAACCTGATGATTACTGATCTAACACCTTTGTTCCTGTTTGGTACCAGTTTGACAAGATTAATGCTGAGGCGGAACAGTACAGCAATGAAATGCATAGCAACAAGGGAGAAATATCTGGACTCAACCGAATGATCAGCCGCCTGCAGAATGAGATCCAGACTGTAAAAGCACAGGTGAGTGAAATGTTGAAAGTCAAAGGCAGCTGAAAAATGCTGTTGGAGGTTTTACTCTTCCATCTCAACTGTGATCTCTTAACATCTATCTTATGTATAAATACTTTAAACATTGCCACACTTCTCCATCACGTTAAAAACTGTTTCTTTTAATCAATGTTTTAAATAATGTTATTTTGTTGATGTGTTCAGTTACACACAGCATCATTCTGATGATCAGCAGAGAACAAGGAATTCAAACAGCAGCTAGGACATGGACATTTTCAACAAATCACGCACTTTAAGAAAAGTGAATTGCTAATTGCAAATCTGAAAGACGGAAAAAATGATGGATTATTGTTAGTCAGAATGGTACTCAGTATATACTCATAGATATCAGTTCCCTAAACATTCCTTGTTGATTTATTTTTTGTAATCAAGATCAACAAATTATTCTTTGGGAAAAATGTGAAAATGCCTCATTTAAAGTGAAAAACTGGTCAGAACTGCTTGTAGTAGGATGGCAGAAATAAATGACCAAAAAAGTATGACACACACAGGATCCGTTATTACAGTTGTTCTGTTGAGGTTTGTCTGTCTGACATTCTGTCTACATACTTAACATCAACTCTTTATATTACGAAATCATAGCTTGCAGCCTCTAAATGTTTTGCTCTATGTGTCACAATCCACATTACAAAGGGACATGACATCGTGGAATGGTCTCATCTGCTTTGAAAGGAGTGATTGACAGGCTTACACCATCTATCCCTGCACATTATTTCTCAGTGTGTCAGTCTGGAGGACCAGTTCTCTGAGGCAGAGCGGCGCGGGGAGGAAGCTGTGCAGGATGCCAGGGCTCGCATCAAGGACCTGGAGCTGGCTCTGCAGAAGGCCAAACAGGACATGGCTCGCCAGCTGAAAGAATACCAGGAGCTCATGAATATCAAGCTGGGCCTGGACATCGAGATCTCCACCTACAGGAAACTGCTGGAGGGAGAGGAGGAAAGGTGAGTGGTGCGGGTAGATGTCAGATTAGAGTCTAATGCAGGTTTTTCTGGAAAAGTTTCAAAAGGATATATTTGGCTCAACTCTCCACTTTCACTTTTAAAGAAAAGCTTAACATGGTCTGACCCCCTGTTACGGATATAATAACATCCCTTGCTCCAAACTGTAATCTATGACTTCTAAGGATTTTGCCAGCATGGCCCCAGAGGCTCTGGAATTCCTTGTCTGAGGAGATCAGACTTGCCATAACTTGAACTGTCTTGTAAATCATTGCTCAAAACATTTGGAAAACCTTTTAATGCCTGGTTATTAAGTGTTTTCAATGTCATGTTTTGACCTGTTTCATTCTGTTCTGTTTTACTCCCATGTGTTTTGGAAAGCACTTTGTAACTTTGCTTTGATAGGTGCTTCATAATTAAAGTTTATTATTTTTATTATTATTATTTATAGTCATGATTCAGCTTCAGTTGATCAGATTGTGCTTCTGTATATCTGCTATCTGGTAACATGTGGTCAGAACTTTCTGCCTTAATGAAGAGAATACTCTTGAGTAATGATTGGAAAGAAAAAACATGTGCTCCCATGAGACATATATGTGTTCAAATGAGAGACTTCTCACAGTGGATTTGTTCCTCTCTCACAGACTTGGACGAGATTCTATTGTGAACATCCAAGACGTGGTAGGCCAATGTAAGTACTGTGCTTTACAGCTGCAGCTCACTCCATTATCACCAATAATCAGATCAGAATGACATCATATCCTGTGTGTATTTGCTTTGTCTAGCCTCCCAGGTTTACAGCCGCCAGCAGCGAAGGTCAAGTCCCATCCTCATCAAGACAGTGGAGACCCATGACAGACTTCATGTGAAAGAAAACACACAGTAACCTGCTGCATGACCGTGGCAACATAACTCCCCCTTTACATTCACCTCTTTGTTCACCCCCTGCACGTATGAGCCAGATGTGTTATCTGTTTACTTCATGTTTGATGTCACATGTTGTGTTCGAAATAAAGATGTGTTCAGCTCTACGATCGTGTGTCCATTTTTATTTTAGTCCTTGGTTGTTTAAAAGTATTGGTATTGTTTCAAATGTTTTAAATATTTATAAGTAACTTTAATCAACATCATCATTTTGGAATATAAGAATAAAAAACTATTCAAAACTGATTATGGGATTATTACTATGGCACAAGTATAGGATGCAAAGTACTAATATAATAAAAACAACGTGATTAAGATTTTTAATTCACTGCCTAACTTTATCTATTAATTATTCTACTTATTATTTTTATATATTTGTTATCATTTATAATCATAGTGTGACGTTTTGTCCACGATTGTAAACTGTTCAATGTTGAATAAAGTTTTTGTGAAGTATAAAAAATGAATGGACGCACCAGGGTGTTTTTTCTGTTAAAACTTTATTGATCAAACTTCTCTGATGACTCTCACTGTTGTTGTGGGACCAGGCTCCTGCGGCTGTAAACCATGTGTGACTTCCTGTTGTGAGTCAGTCGTGGTTTATCGTTGTGAAGCTGCTGATCATCGGATCTCCTCCGTTTAAAACCTCTTTTTAAACAATCTCAGGTCAAACTCGTCTCCACCGTTTTTCCAGCGACGCTTCGTTCAAGGTAACTTTACTTTTTACTTCACGGTTAAAAAATACATCGTGCATCGTATCTGTGTTTTAAGACACGAGGCTGGAAAGCTTTTAAACAGGGACTTTTATTACACGTTATTAATCTACCTGGAGACATGTTGTCTGTCTCACCCACAGTCACTTGTCCAGCCTGTCTCTTTCTGTCTACCTGTCTGTCCCTATTTCTCTCTGTCTGTCTGTCTGTCTCTCTATCTCTATCTCTCTCTCACTCTGTCTGTCTCTCTCTCTCTTCCTGTCTGTCTGCCTGTCTTCTCTATCCACCTGTCTCTGTCTACCCGTCTGTCTCTCTCTCTGTCTGTCTGTCTCTCTCTCTCTCTCACTCTCATTCTCACTCTGCCTGTCTCGTCTGTCCACTCGTCTGTCTCTCTCTCTCTCAGTCTATCTGTCTCTCTCTCTTGCTCTGTCCATATGTCTGTTTGTCTCTCTGTCAGTCTATCTCTCTGTCTCATATCATATCCTATTATATGTTTCTCATTTCTCTAGAGTGACACAATGGACAAAGATGCTGTGCTGACTCATGTCCTGAAGCCGAGGAGGACTCCATCACTTCTTGGAGGACAGCTGCCCGTCAGTGTGATGAGCAGCAGTAGATACGTATCCCAGCTGACAGACAGAGAGGTGGAGGACCAGCTGCCCTCCCTCGATCACGCCATCCTCACCGCTCTGTCTGGTGAAGTCAAGACTGTGATACTGGTGGGTGGAGAAGGATCCGGCAAAACCACTGCCCTGGAGAAGCTGGTGGTGGACTGGGCCAAAGGAGAACACCTTCAGAACTTTACTTATGTTTTATACCTCGGGCTGAGGGAGATCAGCTCTCTTAAAGACGAGCTGTCGTTTGAGACTTTACTGCAACACCAACATGTTCCCTCTGAGTCCGTGCCCCTCGTTCTGCAGAAGCCTGAGGATCTGCTGTTTGTTTTTGATGATCTGGATCAATACAAACTTTCCCTGGATGCCTCCGTCCACTCCCTCTGCTCTGACGTCAGCCAGGCAGTGTCAGTGTCCTGCCTGATATCCAGTCTGCTTCATGGATCACTGCTGAGAGGAGCTGCCTTTGTGGTGGCGACCAGGCCGACAGAGCGGCTGAAGTTTCTGAACGGCACCAGGGTGGAGGGTTCTGGGTTTTTAAAGCCCCAAAGAGAGACTTACTTCAACAGGTTCTTTACAGACCCGGCTGCAGCTAATAAAGCACAACTGCACATGGAGCGCACGCTGGGGTTTTATGATTTCTGCACTTCCCCTAGGTTTTGTTGGACAGTTTGTTCTATTTACAAAACTCTGATGGATGCTGGAGCAAAACTTCCTGAGACATTGACTCAGCTGTATGTAGATGTCCTGGTTCACCTGATGCAGGTGCTCTCGCTGAAGGAGAATTGCAACAGAGAACTGGTGCAGGCCCTCGGTGTGATGGCCTCCCATTGCTCCATCAGTCAGAATTCAAGCTGCACCAAAGAAGAACTCTACTCCTTTGGTCTTCAATCATTTCTCAGCTCTGTTGGTGCTTTCTTGCATGTAGATGGCGATCTGGAGTCAGATTCATGTGTGTTCTCTTTCACCTCCCAGCTGATGCAGGAGTTCCTTTTGGCCGTGTCTTTCTTTTTGGACACTTCGAAATCTGAGGGCGTGGCGAAGATGTTGGAGGAGCACAAAGGTCATGCAAAGTTTTTAGATCTCTTCTTGTCAGGGCTCTCGGAGTCAGTTCAGCGCAGACCCCTGGAGATCCTACTGGGGGAGTTTAACTCGGATCGTACCTTGGATTTTAAAAGTTGGTTTAAAAGCAGCTCAGAGGAAACACTAAAGGGGTGTTACAAGGACAAGCACCATCGATGCTTCCATCTACTTCATCAAGCTCAAAATCAGAGTTTGGTGAAAGAGATCATCTCCCCGTCAGCACGGACAGGCATCAGCTACGGCGACCTAAGCCTCCTGGACTGTGTCGCCCTGAACTACGTCGTCTCGTGCCTCGGTGAGATGAAGCTGTTGAATCTGTACAGCACGAGGGATTTGACAGAGGAGAAAGCAGAAGTCCTGGCTCCAGCTATGAGCTTATCACTTAAGATACAGTAAGTCATGGTAAAGACTCATATATTCTGGCATCATTTAGTTCACATGTCATCATATGTAACATGAGGCTCTTGTCTCCCACAGGTTGTCAGACAGCACCTTGAGTACCAGGGCCGTCTCTCATCTGGCATCAGCTCTCAGCAGGGGACTCACCAAGGAGCTGGATCTCGCTAACACCCGCCTCGGAGATGAAAAGTTGAAAGTGCTCTGTGTGGGACTCAGAGACTGCAAACTGCACACTTTAAAGTAAGCTTCTCTAATAAGTTAGCCTCTACGCTGACAAAGATTTCTCAAAAGCCAAAAATCGGTTTGTCAAATTAATACACTCTTGATTTTTTTGCTTCTTTTTTGCCCAGACTTAAGGTGTGCAGACTGACTGAGGCAAGTTGTGAAGATCTGGTGTGTGCGCTGACCTCGGGCTCCTCTCAGCTGCGTGTGTTAGAGATAATGTTTAATCAGATCGGTGACCAGGGTTTCATGAAACTGTGCAAAGCGCTGCACAGTCCTCAATGCAAACTGCAGCAGCTCCAGTAGGTGCTTTCAAAGTGTTGTATTATATTCAAAATTTAAATATTTTGTCAGCACCATCTATTTATGTCCAAACCATTGATTTAAAAAATAACTTTATTGTGTTTATTAAAAGGCTACAAGGCTGCGATTTGACTGCAGTATCCATGGAGGCTTTATCGGCAGCGTTGTGCTCTGGAAAGTCAGAGCTGAGAAAAGTGGACCTGACGCTGAACAGGATTGGTGACGCTGGAGTGGAGGCTTTGTGCAAGTCGCTGCAACACCCACTTTGTAAACTTCAGAGCCTCAAGTGAGTCTGTGTTTCAAGATGATACATCTGCCGTCAGTGCCTCTCCTGAGATGTTTTGCGTCACCGCCTGTTGATAGTACACCTCTGCTAACCAGTGCAGATTCAGTCAGCATTCCTCACCATGAGTTCACCGTGACCTTTGAATTTTGAATTTTGACCAGTTTAAAACTGGTCAAAATTATGACTTGACTTTTGACATCCACATTCCAGTACATATTAACTGGATGGATTTCACTCTTCAAATGTTTCAAAAATAAATTTTATTGGAAATCTGAACTTTACAAAACATGACATGACAACAGAATTGTAATACAACTCAACACTTAGAAAGAAAGAAAACATCTTTCTGGAAATAATCATCCTCATAAATGAATACAAATGCCAAAAACTATTAAGTAAAATAAAAAGATTAAGTTAAAACCTTCTGACATAAAAAGCTTCAAGGGTCAAATCATTGAATTATTCACAAAAGCAGAAAAGGTAACAAATAACGATGATGAGGGGACTGTTCAGAGCGCTCTTTACAGCCTCTACCCATGTGTGTAACCAGGATGTCCACATTGACACACTGATAGCATGTTTAGCTTCTACATTTTTAGGGCTGTTTATACATTGATTGACAGTGAGATCAGCCACTTGTATTTCCATTAAACAGAGAGTGATACTCTGACGTTCTTCTGGGACAAGTTCATTAATTAACATGCTCTCTGTGACTTTGAGTTAATCTTTTGTTTCTGTGTCCAGGCTGTTTGATACTGAGCTGACCGGTGCGTGCTGTCCTCATTTGATGGAGACCTTGATGTCAGAGCACTGCTCTCTGTCAGAGCTGGATCTGTCAGTGAATGATTTGGGCCATGAGGGGGCGCTGTTGCTTTGCCAAGCCCTGAGTCATCCTGGATGTCCAGTGGAGAAACTGGGGTAGAGTCACACTCTTGATTTTTCAGTGCCACAAAAGAAAGAACCGACTTTCACAAATATCTGCTGAAATTCAGACAACAACATTTGTACTATGTGCTCCCCCCTGCAGGTTGAAACGATGCGAGTTGACGCAGCAGGTCTTTAAGGAACTGGGCTCATTGCTGAGAAGTGGAACTTCGCGACTAAAATCCCTGATTGTGGGTATAAATAAAGCTGGAGATCAAGGGGTTAAACATCTTTGGGATGCTGTTGCACATCCAGGCTGCCTGCTGGAGGAACTGGAGTGAGTTCACAGACACTCCTTGTATCATTCAACACCACATTGCAGTGGACACTACATGAATATCCTCCTCCTCTGTCACAGTGTTGAAATGACACATTTGACAGACGCCTGTGTTGAAGACCTGTGTGCTGCTGTAAGAGCCAGTAAGACTCTGAAGAACCTGGAGCTCAGAAACAACTCCCTGACTGATGCGTCCGTCCCAGCACTCGTCCAAGTCATGGAGGAAAACTGCAACATGCAGGAGATGAAGTAAGTCTGATTCTCTTCAGCTTGACTCAGAGTGTGACAGTTCCCTAATGAAACCACATTTAAATTCAAAGGCCTGGATTTTTATTTGAACCTGCACCATATTGCTCACACTCATAAATATCAGTACCATAAACATGTGATTTTCTTTTCTTCTCTGAGATCTCAATGAAAATGTTAAATGCCCAATCTCACAATGTTTAAAGTGAAAAAAAATAAATCCTGGATTCGCCCCCTGATCCTAACCAACAATAAAATTTAATGTATTCTTCCGACCCATGCGGCATCCTTCTGCCAAGTTTCGTGGAAATCTGTCAAGTGGTTTTTGCGTTATCCTGTTAATTATCAGACAAACGCAGACATCACCTCCTCGATGGAAGTAACTGCTGTGACACAGTTAAAGTTTCTAAGCCCAGAATAACATCTTTAAACAAGAATCTAACGACTGCATTTGTTTTCTGACTCTTTCAGCCTAAAGTACAACGACTTTTCAGAGGACGTTTTCAACATGTTGAATGAGTGCGATAAAATAAGATACTGAAGAAGGCATCTATTCCATCCATTCTCTACACGCTGCTGCAGGGTCAAGCTGATTGATTGTTATTATCACAGCTGAAGCACTGGGGGTGAGAACCTGTTGCTTTTCTGTGTCTTGTCCATCTATCCATTATCCGTACTTTGAGGTTTGTGGGGCTGGAGACAGTCACAGGCAAAGAACCAATCACACTCACACCTATGATTTAATTAGTCTCATATCAACCTCCTTCTAATCTGCATGACTTTGGACTGAGGGAGGAAGTGGGAGAAACCCCACACAAACAAAGGGAGACAAACAGGACTCTGGCCAAACCGGAATTCAAACCAGGAATCTGTGAGGCAACCCCCAGAGTCTTATGTGAAAGTTAATATCTTTCTGGACATTTTTGGTTGGACATAAAAGCTACATTTTAAAATTCCCCTTTGGGGCATTGTGGTTGCTTTCCTGACATTTTGTAGCCTAATTGATTAGTTGATAAAATAATCACATTACATCACAACGCATTAATCAATAGCTAACATTAAACATTAGTTGCAGTCCCACTCATTTCACAGTCGAGCAAAGTCCTTCAACACATTCATTTGATGCAGGAATACTTTATTAAGAAAACTTTGGTATTTTAAAGAGATATTAGGCATTTGGAATTTCTTGGCTTCATTAAGACAGATACATGACTGTAAATTTGATTTATAGCTATAAAATATATTTTACCAAATTCACAAATGAAATCTATCGTTGTATAAAACCAAGTGTCACACGCTTGCTGTAGTTTCAAAGTTTTAGAAGACACACACAGTGAGGTGGAGACAGACCACACAGATTTCTGTGTCTGCCTCTGTCAGCACAAAGCAGGAGTAAACCTCACACAGTGTAAACCTGACACAGTGCCATATCTGTATCCCGCATATGGAGCTGCCCTGTATCCAGTCCTCTCCATTTGAAAAAAAAAAAAAAAAAAAAAAGAAGCTGGTCAAGTGAGGAGGGTGGGTCTCACCAAGCGTGAGTGAAAGCCACACTGGAAGTAAATATCCTCCTCTTGGTGCTCAGTGGTCATGAGTTTCTCCATTAAGGTTCCCAGTGTGACTGCTGCCCTTTGTGTTCAGAGTCACGGCAGGACTTTTACTGCAACTGGAATTAATCTCTTCATCTGAGCTGCTCTCGATGTCACTGCGGTCATCTTTTGACACCTGTAAAATAAAACGTGACTGTTTTACTGACATCTGGATTTGTGAGGAAAGTTACAATGCCACCAAAAATGTCTAAAACCACAACTTGGAAAGATGACAAGATGTGAGATTGCAGACAACGGGTCCGGACATTTCCTGGACTTTGCCTTTCATGCAGTTCTTGCATGAAATAGCTTTAGTGTGGTGTAATAGCACAAGTATTTGCACTAAAAGTTTCAACCTGAGGATACTGCTAAATGAAACAGGTCACTACAGTTGTTCGTTCTCTCAGGACAATGACTGTATACATTTTAATCGTCAATCTAGTTATTTCAGTTTGGACCAAAGTAAAGGAGCCAGTGACAGACTACAATCCAACCCTGTAGCCATCATGGCTGAAAATGACACGCAAGGATAAGATTTCCAGACTAACCTTTCCCTTGAATATGGCTTTGATGGCAATACGAGCTATGAGGTAGAACCAGATGATGTGAAGAGCCTGCAGGACCAGCAGCAACCCGTTGAACAGCCACCAGGACTGGTATGGCCCGGCGATCTCCCAGCTCTCAAACAGAACACTGTTTACAATCCTACAACAAACACAGACAGACAGAGGTTACTAGAGCCCTCAATATATTATTACTTTTTTTATTACTTTTGGTCCTTTACTTTAAAATACTTCATCTCTCCTGTGGGTCACTTTGAGCTTAGTAGCAGAACTTTAATCATATGTAGTTTTAAATCTCTCTCAGCTATCTATGCAAACTATTTCAGGATCCTCATATCACTGCAATTTGTTCAAACTCGTGGCTAGTATGTTTTGACTAAACAGCGCTACTACCCATAGAAATGTATAAATGTAATATTCACTTTTTATGCAAAAAATAGACAATGCAAAAAGGTTATTCTTTTGGTTGTAAATTTGAAGTAGTAGCCTTCAAAGGGCACAAGGATAATGAATGATCAATCTTTTTATTTTGGGTTCGTTATTTTTGGGCTTGCACAGAATTATGGGAGTGTCAGAGGTAACAGGTTATGTAACTAACCAACTGTAACAAGGCAGGTTGTTTGTTACGCTTGTGTGTGTCTCACCAGAAAGGATAGATGACAAGTCGAGTGAGGAAGAAAACTACGCTGAACAGCACAAACATGCCATCACATAGCTTCTGGTACTTGGCATAGTTGGCCAGCTTGGCTGCCTTGGGAAATAAAGAAGACTTTAATGAATCACACTGATAGACTATCAAACCAATATCTCTAAGTTGCAGTGAACAGTATTAAAATATATTTACGCTCATGCTATATTTTGTTTGCTGTTTGTTCATTGGTTCTTACTGAGCGTATTTTATTGAGACTTGGTGAAAGGGTGAGGTGTGGCCAAAGAAAGAACCCATTAAGTTTCATTGCTGATTCAATTAAGGGGGCGGATTCAGGAATTTTCTCTTTCTTTAACATTGTGAGATAGGGCGTCGGCCTTGGTATCAGAAGTAGCTCACAACACAATTATATCATACTTGTCCCAACTGTATTCAGCTACATTGTGTAGCAACGACAGATTTGCTTCATGGAGCAATTAAAAGAAAGTGTGCCTATCTGCGTCAACATTCCCCTAATGAAATCATATTTAAATTAAGTAGATCTGAATTTTTTTAAATAAAACAATGAACTAAGATACAAAAAACGACCATAAGCCCCCTAAACTAAACATTCCTGATTTTTTTTTTAATCAAGGGCCATGAATCATTCTCTGAGAAACCAAGGAAAATGTTGAAAAACACCCTCATCTCTCAATGTTTAAAAACGAGGAGAAAAAATCCTGAATCCGCCCCCTGATCCACATCAAACTTAACAGATTCTTCCTTGGGTCATGCCCCACCCCTCTGCAAAATGTAATGGAAATTTGTTGTGTAGTTTTTGTGTAATCCTGCTAACTAACTAAAAAACAAACAAAAATGTCCTTTACTGAGTGCTTTACCTCAAGGAAGATGTCGGATGCATCATGCACACACATGACCAAAGTACCAGCTCTTAGCATGTTGTTGGCATAGGAGAAGGTGATGAGGATTATGGTGGCCAGGTGGTGGACGAGCATGATCATGAAATCCTGTCATCGGTGAAGTGAAGGGTGACAGAAAGGAAAAATGATGTTAAACAGACGTATTACACCACTGGAGATGTGTAAACTCAAAAACTCCTGCCGCTAAGTGAACAATGAGACGAAGCTGATTGCAGAATCATCCTCAATCGTTGGTCATTGTACTTTATACATATAATAAGACTATTACAACTGAAAGATACTGTGTCAATACTGGTACTACACACTTAAATTAAACCATATGTAAGGAGTGTCTTATACTTTTACGGCCCTGCAGCATTTTATTGTCTAACCTGTTTTTTCAGAGCACATGATCATGACTCTATTCTCATGCGTAAGGCTGGGAGCAGAAACTAGTCTGACAGTTTGTAAACACCCTGTCAAAGATATTCAGAGAAAGGGGGTTTGAAACGAAGGCAACAAGAAAAACAGGTGAAACAGCTCTGAATGAAGGTGCATGAAGAATTCAGCCGAGCTCCTGCAAGGCAGCACAATAGAGTTGTGTTTAGCTGATGTTGCCTCACCTTGCGTTTTATGTCCGTGAACTGGGAAAACATCAGCGACCAATAGAAAGCCAGCTCAGCTACATAGTGTGTGTACTGTCCAGGGCTCAGCGGCTGCAGGGGGGGGCGAAAAAAAGAAAAAAAAACACCTTAAACAAATATGTAGTCTAGTGATCTGCAAACATTATGGCGTTGAACTGGTCGGTGATAATATAGACAGGTGATTATGATGATTGTTGAGTTGATTAAAAAAGAAACAAACCTGAAAAGGAAACTTGTGCCAGCATATTCTGGTATCCCACATCCAAGGCGACTGAGAAAAAATAGATAAAAATGTGTAATTTAAAGACAAGTTATATAAGAAAATAACATAACAATAATCAGGAGCTCATCCTTGATTTGATTCTGGCTCTACTTCATTCCTCATGTCCTTCCTGTGTGATGAGAGTATTTTGTTGTATCTGGAGGTGATAAGAGGCTTCAGCAGTCAGAGTTAGTTTTTTTAAAGCACAAAATTCCCTCTGTGTTACAATCTCTCTATGAAACACAGACACAATTGACCAACTTAAAAAACGAACAACTTTGTCTGCTGAAATCTTGTTTTTGCTTGAGATAAAATTTTTGCACAGAAAGAAGACTTGGGATTTTCACTTCCATAGGCCCAAAATTTTCACCTGAAAAAATAAAAATTAGCGAAAGAAAGGGCAAACTAATTTGTTTCCATCCACCACTGTTATGCGCTTTTGTAATAAAGCACACCCAGATGAACAGCTGATGTTACTGCTTCTCCAGTTGGGTGCCATTAAACCACTGCAGAAGAGGAGGACCTAGTACTAGTGAGCGCTAGTTCAAGTTCCTCTTACTGTGGAAAACTGGCAAGAAAACTTGATTTAAAAAAAAAAAAAGAAAAAAAAAGGATGTATCTAAACGATACTTCCACTTGTTTCTGTGATGTTTGAGATTTGTTTGCCTCTGAACCACTGACAGCAAGTTGCCTGAGGCTGTATGTTTTTGGGTTGTTGGTCCGTCCCATTCTTATAAACATGACATCTTTAGAAGGCCTTGAGGGAATTTCAAATTCGGTGCAAATATTGACTTGGACACAAAGATGATCCGGTTAAATTTTGGGGGGGGGGGGTCAAAGGTAAAGGCCACTTCTAACTTACAGGCCACGTCTTTGGTCTTGTGAACGCAACATTTCAAATTTCTGTAAATTTGGTACAAACATTCACTTTGACTCACAGAACATGATATCTCAAGTCTGCCTTGAGACCATTTCTTCAACCTTTGACCAGTTGTCACTTGAATGTGAAGATTAACAGATTAGATTTCAGTGGTCAAAGGTCATCATGACCTTATAGCTATGTAGACTGACACTGCGCTGGTTGGCAGTGTATACGAGGTTACACGAGGTTGGTCAGTTTTTCCTGAGAACAATACCCAAATATAAAAAATGCACATAAATGCAGGTGGATGGAAACAATAACTGTAGGTGCTTTAGGACGCCATCTTTTGATGACAATTATAAACTGACAATTGACTTAAAAAACTATGAAGCTTTCCTTCAAGCCAGTCTCTGATTTGATTTACAAACACATACAGTGTGCTTATTACATGTCCATCTTTCAATATGTCAGTGCATTTTGTACAAAAAAAACACATAATATTCAATTTCTCAACTCACCACCCACAAATGGCGAATGGCATAGATAAAAATCCCCAAGTAAAATGTAAACCTCCACCTGTCATTAAAGAAAAGAGAAGAACTGGTTAAACAGGACAGTAAAATATTAACTTGTCATGTTTAGTTTGTTCACTCATTCACTCATTTGTACGACGCAGCAGTTTAGTAGGAACCTTTGTAAGAACCTACATGCTCTCACAGAACTTTGTCTGCGTACTGGGCCTGTCTTGGTTCCGGCGGATGCGAAACCATCGCTGTATTTTCCGTACATCCCAGTCCAGCTGTTTGGACAGACCCTCCAGTTGCCTTGTGTCTGGACACTGAGGAGGACAACACATTACAATTACAAATGACTCGCTTTCCACAGCCTCTACTTGTAAAACCACAATAGCAGTAGATATTCCTGTCTCACAACTAAGAGGTATTTACTGAACACGTCATTATGCCTGTGGTGGTGTTTTCCTAAGCAATAACACCAGTGTTGCAGTGTGCAGAGGAACATTTAATGGACAAACGT